CAATTTCAAACCCACTTATTATACCAGCCTGTCAATAATTGTGATCAACACAAGTTTTGGAGAAATTGCCCCACAAACATCAAAAGAAAAATACTGACACTCTTAAAGACAGCAAGCTGTGATGGTGAAGAGCAGTGTGCTTCAGAAAGGTTCTTCTAACACTCATGAAGCTGTTTCAGCTGCTCAGCAGAAATGAATTTATAAAGTAAAGCATCCTGAGATACTGTGTTTATTGTAACAACCACACTGGTTTTCTCCAAGTTTGGAAGTGTTTTGTTCACTTTTAAGCTTTTGATCTCGTAAGGTTTGTCCTATAAAACAAAGCTGGCATGCCATTATTTTTTATATTTACTCAAAAAAAATTATTTATTTGAAAAGACTGTTAACTAAAAACCTTTGTTACGTTTTTATGGGCTAATTCTGGCCAATCGCAACAGTTCCTTTCATGCCTGTGGACTAATACACTTTTAAATCATCTTCTTCTGAGCAACATCTGAACCACAAAGACACTTTCCTTTATTACGTATAGGTACTGTGGATACTGCGTCATGTGACATAGCCATGATGTTTTACTCAGTGAACCTGCATGCCTCCTATTTATGAGATATTTGCACCAGAAGCGTCAGTGGTGACAAAATAGGGAAAAGAAAAGAACATTTGGTGAAATTTGTTAAGAAATAGGTTGCCTGTAATTAACGGATGGTTTTCTAGCTTTTTACAGTATAAATGCTGCTGGTCTGGTCTTAAAAAACCCAAAAACTATTTACATCAAATTGGCATCAAATTCTTCCCAACAGGAAGTCTTGAATGGGTTGTCAGTAACTACCCATCCAATCCACACATGCAAATAAATCCAACCATTGATGTCTATAAATTAAGTAATGTGTGATAATGAAAACTGCCACAGGGAAATTTATTTAATACTTTGAATAAAAGTTGACAACTTCAGACCACGTCCTGTATGGAGAAACTATTAGCATTTCCCACTATTTCCCAGGCTTGTCAGCATGCTTTGTCTCTATCAGTGGTGTGTGGTGAGCATACATACAGGCCATGGTGGTAGAGTCCATTAATCATTGTTTTCTCTGAAACAATAGTACCTGCTGATTCCAGGTTTTTCTGTAGCTCCTTGGCTCATGGACCACTTCAGTTAAATTCAGTTTTATTCATATAGCGCCAGATCATAACAACAGTTGCCTCAGTGCACGTTATATCGTAAGGTAAAAGTCCTATAATAATAAAAAAGAACACATAGAAAACCTCAACAATCATATGACCCCCTATGAGCAGCACTATGGCAAAGGTGGGGAGGAAAAACTCCCTTTGAACAGGAAGAAACCTCCAGCTCAGAAAGGGAGGCTGTTTGCTGCGACCGGTCAGAGTGAGGGAGGAAGGATGGGACAAAGAAATGCTGTGGAAGAGAGCCAGGGATGATAAATGAATAATTAAATGCACCAACTCTTATGATAAATTCTCTTACTGCCCCGTCTTACACTTTGGATTTTATTGTTTCAGTGATTGGTACTCTACACTGCCAGTCAAACGTTTGGACACAGCTTCTCATTTAACGCTTTTTCTTTATTTTTCTTGACTATCTACATTGTAGATTCTCACTGAAGCATCAAAAGTATGATTGAACAAACATGGAATTTAATTATTAATTATTATACAAAAGTGTGAAACAACTCAAAACATGTTTTATATTTTAGATCCTTCCTAACAGCCGCCCTTTGCTTTGATTCCTGCTTTGCTCACTCTTGGCGTTCTCTTCATGAGCTTCATGAGGTCGTCTCCTGAAACGGTTTCCAACAGTCTTGAAGGAGTTCAGAGATGCTGAGCACTTGTTGGTCCTTTGCCTTCACTCTGCGCTCCATCTCATCCCAAACCATCTCCATTGGGTTTATGTCAGGTGACTGTGGAGGCCAGACCATCTGGTCAGCACTCCATCACTCTCCTTCTTGGTCAAACAGCCTCACACAGCCTGCAGGTGTGTTTGGGGTCATTGT